GCACCGCTCCCTGCTGACCGACAGCGCCTCTCCTCCGCGAGAGCCGCCCCGCAGAGCGCGTTCCGCCCTCGAGCCACCGCACCGCCTCCGCCCCTCCTCGCACGGCGGGACGGGAGGTCGCCCGTCCGTCCGCCCAGCTCCCCTGGCGTGCCACCGCAGAGCCGTGCCAACGACAGCCGTAGGTCCTTTACACGTGTCACAACCAGGGCTTTTTCAGGGGCTTACGGACTGACGGAGCTGATCATCCTCCCTAAGTAGCTGTTTTTAAAAGCTACGGATCCCATTCAAAACTCTTCTAACACATGGATTTCACTTCCTCTGCCTGCTATTTCAAGGGTACTGCTCAACTTAGCGTTTTCCACTGCGGATCTGTAAGGTACCCATTCCAACAGGAATCTTCTCCGTTCGTATAATGATTATTCAATTAAGGAAAAGCATTATAATCTCATGGAAAAGACAAGACACCAACAGATTCAGAACAACGTGGCACATTCGAATATCCACATGGACTATTAAAAAAGTTAGAGCAGTTTAAGGTTAAAGGAAATTAGTTGGAAACTAAGCCAACACGCTTGCATGATGCACATGCTGGGCTCGGAAAAGCTTCAGACACCATTCTAGAAATCACATCTCCTGCATTTCACTAAAATATGGGACATCTTTGATAAATTCAAGCTAACACCATCCACTTCTCCAAAATCTTCACTCGTATCAAATAGATTAGACTTGGGTTTAACGTTTGAATTTGCTTTTGAGAGGGTAACTGAATATTAGTTTTGGAAAAAAACCACAAAACTTCTGTATAGTCACCTTAGTGGCTGGAAGGGGAAAAAATAATCTCATATAATGCTGAAGAGTGATGCAAGGACAGAAAAAAATGCCTTATCACAAATGTACATATGTGATGCAATAAAATCTTCCTTCAATCACATTTCAGAACTAACTGAATTCGGAGACTTCCATTCAAAATGTATTCTTAATGCACTACAGCCATCAACAAAGTAATACAAAACCTTTCAACTTTTTCAACTGTACAATCGTATTTGAAAATGAGACTTTTTAAAAAACAGTACCCTCTTAACAGAGCACTGGGAATAAGAACATTTCATGACAGTGTTCGAAGTTGTGAAAAACACTGACAGGTTACTTTTTTCAAGATCCGAAATAAGCCAAAGAATGTCAAAACCCAAAAGCTAAATGAACTGTTGAAAATACTCATTAAACAGGCGTAAATAAGAACTTAAAAGAAGACACAGAAAGATTAGCCAATATCATCAGATATTTGTACAATTCAATATTGATAACTTCAATAAAATATTATAAACAGTATTTTGTAAAATATTATAAACAGGAAATTGAAAATATTAAAGAGTCACCAAGATTTCTTTGGCGGCAGAAGGGATGGTTTCATGACTGCAGCAGAAAAAAAGTGTGTGTGTATTCGGGGGGGGGGGGGGGGGGGGGGGGTCGCC